AGTAAAAAAAGGAATAAGAAATAAAAATGCAGTTGGAGAAAAAAAAAGAGGTTCCATTGCCGAGTCTCGAGAACCCACGAACTCTAGGACATGAACCGCCGACGCAACGCTCGCAGCTACAACTGCTTGTGTTGAGAGTTTGAATTTTTCCGTACATCTAGAGACCTGTAAATGTTTAAAGCCATTTTTTATAAAAATGGCTGGCCAGATGCCCCTAATATTTTACACTTTTTTTATGCCAATCAGCCCCCATCATTTGAGCCCGGTCTCGTTCAAAAAGCGCTCGTCCGGATCGCGTCCGCCCCTTGTAAGCCCCATCGCTCGATGTTGCCGTCGTTAACCCAAGGCTATTGCCCTTCAGACACGTAGATTAGTCATAACCCTGGGTTACCCTGGTGGCGCTCGCGATCTTGGTCGGTCTCGTTCTCCGCGGAGAGTTCGCCCACTTTGTGACGCGGCAATCTGCCACGTCACAGTAAATATTTCGTCAGCCTCTAGATTAATATATTTTATATTAATATAACTTGAACGCCATAATGTGGAGAAAAACTCCTCCAAATATCATTAAAATATCTCCAGTAAAACTAAAGTTACAGATTTTTGATCGCCGAGAGCCGTTTTGCCCCACTGTGGGACCCCTGATTGCAACAGTGCGAATCCGATCGCAATTTCCGCAGAACCCTACTGTGACAACTTATCCCGAAAACGCTTACTTCTCACTCGTTTCCTTCAGCAAAAGAGACAGACTCCCTCTCGTTGCATACCTTTGTTAATTTACCGCTTTTGACTACTACGTGGTCACGCCGGATTGGGCGTCGTTACAAATCACGATGCAGCAGTGCCACGGCTCGGTTTGAGACGCGTATGCAACGAGAGTAAGTTAGGCGGTTTGACTAAGTTACTTGATCGGTTTGACCACTCGATTGGATACCGGTTTTCACTGAAGGATTTGAACGTGCTGTCGCGGTCGCTTCCAAACGTAGAGTGACGGTCCTAGTTCTCGCAGCGAGCTCCTTCGATCCGAGATCGAGTGAGATCGATGCGCATGCATCCCCTTTTGGTAGGGTACTTCTCCTAATTTCTCCTCGTAGGAGCGGTTCCCGGTTTCAGATAAGGGGCAACCCCTTGACTATACTCCGTTCAACGAGACGAGTCACCAAGTATAAACACGAGCACGTGAGCAGGGCAGGACCGTCTTCCGAGTTCCGGATCCCCACGTCGCGTCTCATCGCAAGATAAGCTTTTCCTTTTTTTAAATTACAAATTTTGGATTATGTTATGGAATTATTCGTTATAACAGGATATAACGGGATGAATGCAAGTACAATAGAAGTTCCGTATAATTATTATTTTTTTTTTATTCAGAACTGGTATTTGCTGATGAACTGGTATCGACTGAATCATTTAAATTTATAATAAATAGTTCTATTACTGATTCAATTATACCATCTAATTGCCAAAATTTATCTTCGAAATTAGTTACTACATGATCGATACACGTTTTCCAATTGTCTACAGTAATATTATTTACTGCCCGACCTTACCTGCAAGAGCCCTCGGCAAGGGACCACCATAACTTGGCCCTGAGTTATAACATCTGAAAGCCAATGACTGTAGTCGCAGAGTCGATCACGTGAAAAGCGGGGCAGTTGTTTGTTTTTACTTGGTGACTCGTCTCGTTGAACGGAGTATAGCTCATAGCACACGCGTCGATCTCCCTCGATCGAATATCGAGTGGAGATCGATGCGCACGCGTGTCAGGCGCCGCGACTATCCCGAATTCTCATCTTCGCGAATAAACGGAGGATTCAAGCCTTCCATGAGTGGGGATCGCCCCTTAATCGTCTATGTAGTTGTATGTAACCAACACATGTAATCCTAGTTATAATTTAAAGCATACATTTAATAAAAATAGATCTTTTTGAAAAATACTGTTTAGAAACAGCAAAGACATTTTTCGATCTATATCCGTAGTATAACATGCCTACTACTGTTCATAAAATATTAATACATTCGGGGACATCATAAAACATGCAATACTTCCAATTGGACAGTTAAAAGAAGAAGCACAAGAAAAACGCAACAAAGACGTCAAAGCTTTCAGAAAATATCACTCTAGAAAATTTTCCAGAATTAAAACATTGGAAAATACCTTTAATAATTTACTTGTGTCTTCCGATCCGTATGTTAAGAATTACTTCAAACGATATATCTGTTTCGTTCGGAAGTTCTGGGGTAAGTGCCGTGTGGTTCAACACGGTCCTCTTTCCAGAAGGCCGTGCTTCCCCACTCCGTGTCCAGATCTTTCTAGAACAATATATCATTTGTTTAATTCAATATGGCTAATTATTAATTATCGCAATTATTAATATTAATTATTATTAATTAATTTATTAATTATGGCAATGCAACGTCAGATTGCTTGCCCGGTTTACGCGTTACCGATGGTAATTCATCGGTCATGCGACATTCGTTTTGGAGCCGTCTTCGGATCGTCGCGAGCTCGCGCTCGGTCCGTCTTGTCGTCTTCGCCCCTCGCGAACCCATCGCTTGCAAACAGCGGCAGATCAGCTATTTCGAAAATCAATATATCGACCGGACGCTAATGGTGCGTTTACACGCTCAAGCTATTTGCACAAGCCGGCTTGCGCAAGCCAATTTATGCAAATTAACTGGATGAAATATTGCCGTTCACACGTTCAGTTCAGTTTGTACAATTGTGAAGTGAGGAACACCGAAAATTGTAGTTTGTTGTGTCCAAAATGGAAAATCTAGACGAAGATCTAATTCTTGCAACGGCTGCAGTGTGCATTATAAAGAAGAAGATGAAATTGAAGGCTAAAAGGAACTGGTGTAAACCATGGTTGCTACAAAGGGATTTGCTTTCTCATACCAATTTAATAGCTTAATTACGCAGTGAGCCTGACGATTTTCGCAACTATTTGCGTATGGACGAAGCCACATACATGCATGTGCTAAATTTAATTACACCAATGCTTTCAAGAGCAGACACTGTTATGAGACGTGCAATTACCCCCATGAAAGGCTATCAGCTACGCTGAGATTTTTGGCAACAGGGAGAAGTTACGAAGATTAAAAATTTTCAACAATTATTTCCAAATTACCTCTAAGCGCAATAATTCCAGAAACATGCGTCGCAATTTACAAGGCGTTAAAGGACCTATATCTAAAGGTAAGTTTATTGAATATTAATAATAAGTTAAAATAAGATACAAATTAATACAACGGAATAATATATATTAGTTTATATAATAAATACATAGGTAATATAAATCATGCTGTTTTATCTACAAAATCGTTGAAATTGCGAAACAAATCTGCAGGTTTATTGTCTGTTGGCAGCGATTGCTGTGATTGCTGTGATTGTGTGCTGTGAGTGTTGAATGGGGGCTGAGTGTTGAATGTAGGTTGAATGTTTCTTGTATGGTCTTGCTGAATTTGTATAAAACAATTGCGATTTAGGTTTCCCAATTGTGTCTCATACAACACGTCATTTATTATTTTTTCGGCGTAGACAGCTTGTTGTGGATCGAGATCTCTTAATTTTGATGTCTATACTTTTCCAATATCCGTAAATTTATCAGTAATTTATGTTGAAGGTTGTAACAATCGTTTCCCGTTTACATCTAACACTTCATCACATTTATTTTGTACTCCTCGGGATGTTTTACTCGATGCTGTAGATAACTGTCTAGATGATAGTGTGGGTGGTAAAAAGACACTAGGAGATTCTGGGAGCTCGAGGGTTGTTTCATTGTCAGGACTCTATAACAATAATAATACTAATAATAACAATTGCGATGTTATTATGAAGTAATTGTTACATATTTTCTCCATTGCTTGGGAGCGGTAGATGGAAAGCATGTGCAGATCGTTTCACCTCCTGGAAGTGGATCCTACTACTTCAATTATAAGAAGACCCACAGTATTGTTCTGATGGCAATTGCGAATGATAACTACGAATTTATAATATGTGATATTGGTACCAATGGTCGAGTATCTGATGGTGGAGTAATTGACAACACTATGTTTATGAAGAAATTGCTTGAAAATAAATTGGATTTGCCTACTGCAGAACCAGTCATACATTGCGAAACACTATTAAATTACGTCTTTATCGAAGATGAAGCATTTGCTTTGAGGCCAGATTTTTTAAAATCATACAATCAAAAAGAGCTTGATTATGAAAAAAGAATTTATAATTATCGTTTGTCTAGGGCCAGAAGGATCATAGAGAATTCATTTGGAATATTACCTAAACATTTTAGAATTTTTCATACTACTATAAATTTACAAGTTGATAATATTGACAAAGTTGTTTTGGCTTGTTGTGTACTGGATAATTTCTTGCGAATAAATTGTTCCCATACATATACATCAAATGACGTGTTTGATGTTGAAGATACTAGCAATGGTACAATTACTCCTGGTTTACGAACAGGCTCAGACAATCTGTTAAATCTTCAAAACGGTTCTAACCGGTATCACACTGCTGAGGCAAAAGAAATAAGAGAGCAATTTAAAATATACTTTAACAATCATGGGAAAGTGAACTGGCAGCACGCAATGGTTTCTAATGATTAGTTATTACCCTGTTTCTATAAACATATTGCCTACTTCAATATACTTCCACAAACTAAATGTAAAATAAATAATAAAATTGTTTTATTTGTGTAATTTACCTGCACTTCATCAATGTTTGATTTAGTAGGCCTGGGAACTTCCTGGTCCTTTAGAAAGTGTAAGAGTTCAAAGTACCATAAATGTGGTACATAAACATCCTCTTTCCCAGCACCTGATTTCTCAGATTTTACAACTTTTCTCAATTCCTTGCGGTACGCAGTACGTAAAGAGTTGATCTTTTTTACTACATTATCTTTGTTGGCCTCTGGGTCTAAGGATCGCATTTTCTCCAACAACGCATCATATGCATTTGATTTTGGATTACGGTCGCTATACACCCTACTTTTTACTTTCCATAAGCAAGGAAACGATTGGTATAATTCAATAAACTCTATAATAAATTGCTTTTCATTGGGCATGTTGATCAATGGAAAAATAATGAAGAACGTAACAATAATAAAGAACGAAACAATAATAAAGAACGCAACAATAAATATAGACAACACAAACTGAAACAATAATCGAAAATAATAGATAATTGAATAGAATACTGAACTGTCGACTGATAAAGTTTGGAGAAAATGTGGTTATAATTCAAGACACATGGCTTCAAGAGTCTTGAGGCTTGAACATAGCTTACACGTACCAATCTCAAGCCCAATCTCAAGCCGATTTTCTGTCAGGACAGATTTCACTCAAGCCAAATTTTTTGGCTTGCGCAAGCTTCATGCCTGCGTTCACACGCTACGATTTACTTGTGGAAGCCGATTTGTGCAAATGGCTTGAGCGTGTAAACGCACTATAACACGGCCAAAGTGACATTCTTCACGCTCTCGGGAAGCATCCTTACCTTGTTTTTGACACAATATTTTTGTGAATTCAATAAATGACAAAACAGCTTGAAGCCATCAACAACAAATAGTATCATCTCGATACTTCTGAACAGCGCCATATGCCCAAATTAATAATATTTTACTCATGAATTCTTTTTTCTTCCTTTTTGCTTTTATTTAACCAATTCATATCAAGGTAGTTTTCCGTTACCTTTGAACATAAATATCAGAAAGAAAAACATAATATACAAGTGTTTAAAATAAGAATACAATATTATGTAGTATCCCGCTAATATGGTTCATCCATACTTTTATTATCGTTGTCATTATTTTCGTCACCAATCCATTCACCCTTCCATAAACATAATCGATCTTTAGGCGCGATTTGAGGTTTACTAGTCTTACCTACAATTTCGTGATGGTCATTTTTTAAAACTTTTGTTATTACATAAGGACCGACGTATTTCGGGTCTAATTTTGCTCGACGAGTAACTGCAGGTTTCGAGAATATAGTATCGTTTTTCTTAATCCTAAAATTGTCTCTCCGCTTTTTTGTTAAACAAGTTATTCTGTTTTTCCGCGTTCTCTATCAATCATTCGCATACAGTCTGTCTATCGTTTAATAAGTCTACTTCGTACTCTGTAGGTCGTTTTCCATTTCTGATATACTACCTTGGGTCCGGAGTGACGCTTCGCAACTGTGCAGTAAGACAATGCTGGACATAATTTCTCACAAAAGCTCTCATTTTTTTAAACAAATACTTTCTAGCAATACGATCGAGTACTTTGTAACGCGAATTGTAGTCGTGACCCGCTCCTCTCGCGCTCGCGCCCCACCCCACTCGGTCCTCCTTCCCCACTAGCAGTTCCGACGGCCGCCGCCAATCCGGAACCGCGCGCCACGTTAGCGCACGGCGCTCTCTCACTACCAAAAGTGGGGAGCACCGTGCATAATTACCGAGACGTGCCGCTCGGGAAGGCAGAACGCCTGAGCGAGCAACCGATGTAACATGTCTCTCGACTATTAAAGGCTAATTTCGCTGCTCAAACGCTCTCATTCTTTTCTGTAAAACCGTACTCTCCTCTTTCCAACGGGGCGCGTCCGAAGAGATCGACCAAAGAGCTTCCTTTTCGGACGCGGTGAAACCGTCTAGCCTGCCATTCCACAACGAAGCTTGATCTTCGTGGCGTGGGAAAACCTCAGCCGCCGGTGAGACCCTCACTGCCTGGACAGGCGTCTCCGGGTCTCCACGGCTACTCGCTCTAGGAAGGATACTCGTGCTAACGCCGTTTATCCGACCTCACTAGAGCAACTCCCTCGTTAGCTCCCGTTTCCCGAGATCCTCCTACCCGCCGACTAATTGTTCCGCGCCGCAGCGACCGACGCCTCGTGGCACCCGCGACCACCGTGCTGTACAGCGCAGCTACTTGCGTACCATTTACGCGTACCGCCGACGGCCTACCCCTACGACGCGAGCCTGGAGCCCGGCTGACGACGGGCACCCTTCGCGACGGTTCAACCGCCCCGAACCCGAACCGCGTGACAACTTTATTTACTCCCACGTGGCAATTTTCATTGTAACACTATAAGGTGCCAGGGAAAGGAAGCAGGCGTGAGATAGGACTCAAAAAAATTGCACAATTGAAAAGTAATTGACATACGACGTAAAAAGCACTTAAAACGTAAAAGAGTACATAAAGTCGAACTCTGTCGTCGCGACCGATCTCGAGGCGACTTCGACGAAAAGTGACGCAAATCGTCATCGTATCGGCTACGCCGAACGCATTTCGGCGTAGTTCAAACAATTGCGGCCTGTTTGATGGTAGGTGGCCTCTTACAATACAAACGCAGAAGTCCGAAACGTGCTCCCTTTGGTACATAAAAACGAGTGATTTCTTTGTCATTATTATCACGCAATTTACGACACAACAACTTATCTTTGACCACAAAGTCGCTATTTAAAGAATGATTGGGACTGATTTTTTCGATTATCGATTGTTTCCTCGTCATTCCTTTGCGCGATCTCCAACCACGATCCTTCGCAAATAACATTTACGTAGCAGGTTTTATCTTTACAGGGGTTTCGACTCAAATAATCTGCATATTCAATACACTTGCCTTTGCGATACTCGATAGTGTCATTGAAATCTTGCAAATATATCCACTATCGTGCTATACGTGGTAATAGATCTCGTTTATTAACACAAGGATTACTAAATGCGACTCTAAAGGTACTTTATTAATATTAATAGAATGCTTTTCGATAGATAGTATTTTATGCTACGTCTTTCCTCATCGAGGGCCGAACAGCGAGTGAGTCCCTTGTCCGTCCAGGTCCTCGCCCATTCGGCTTTTGTTTATAAGGCTGACGTCTTATCGCTCAGCCTTTTGGTAATGTGGCTGGCCGCCGAGTTACTTATATAGCGTCCGCGGCTTCTTCTGTAGAACTTTTGTTACACGTTTAGTATTGGTTGCTTTCAACGCGTTGCAATCCGTTACAAGTTTGAAATTTATGCCCAAAAGATAAACACGAAAGTACTTCAGTGCATTTACTACAGCCAGGGTTTCTAACTTGTAAGAGTGGTAACGCGATTCCTCAAATGTAGTTCGGCGATTAAAGTAAGCGATAACTCACAAATCTTTCACAGATTTTTTTAATAAAACTGCTTTATAGCCTATCGCGCTCGCATTTGGACGCAGTTCGGTGTCTTTGTTAGGATCGAATGTTACGAGGCACGGTTCGTTACTTTTTGTGAATTTCGTTATGCACGAGGTTCGAACAGCAAACTTGGGAATAATTTTACGAAAATACCCAGTTAGTTCCATAGATTGTCGCACCTGTTTAAGATTTTCGGGTACCGGTGACTCTACAACGGCTTGAACTTTTCCTTTACCTGGTTTAATTCCCTCTGCTGATACTATCCTTCCCAAATATTGTATTTGTGTTTGAAGAAATTTACATTTTCTTTGATTTAAAGAAAATCCGGCTGTGTCCAACGCATGCAAAACCCTGTCTAGTTTTTCAAGACCTTCTTTGGTTAATGACGGAATTAAAATATCATCGAGGTACACTAGAGTAATATTGTTTTTAAGATCTCCGAGAGCGAAATTAATTCCTCGTTGGAAGACAGCAGGAGCATTCGCAAGACCAAACGGCATTCGAAGATATTCATAGTGACCGTCGGGTGTAACAAAGGCGGTCTTGGATACGGAATCTTCCGCAATGGCAATTTGGTGAAAACCGGATGCCATATCGAGAATCGTAAAGTACTTATTTTTACCTAACCGATCTAACTGGTCATCGATTAGAGGGAGAGGGTATCGATCTTTGATGGTTATTCGATTTAAAGTGCGATAATCCACGCAGATACGATCCTCACCGTTCTTTTTCTTAACGAGTATTATGGGGCTTGCAAAAGGTGAAGTACTCTCGCGTATTATACAATTTTTCATTAGGTTACTAATTATAACGCGTACTTTTTCTCGCTCGCTAAATGCTAATCTATATGGATGATAATTAACAATTTTACTTTCTTTAAGGACAACTCCATAAAAAGCTTCAAAAAAGTAAAAAAATTACGCCAAGTACATAAAAAAGTGGAGGACTTAAAGAGTAATCATAGAAAAATAGAAGATCCCCCTAAAAAAATTCAAGAAAGTAAAAAAAGAAGTGAAATCGAAATGAGGTGCCAGTACATGAAGGTGGTTTCCAGCAAAGTGCAAAGGCGACACTGTATAACACAATGAAAAATTCGCCTACATGTCCGTGGCTTGGAAGTCCAATGCTTGGCGTGAGCCAGGCAAGGTCAAGGTTTTAAATTATTTTATTTTAATTATTTTAAAATGTAAAATAATAAAAATGTACTCATATTGTCAGCGTTTTAAACTGACAAATTATCTGAAAGCCTGTGAGAGGAGGTGTATCTGCGTCAATGAATGTCCTTAGAAATATTTTAAAACACAATAAAATGAAAATGTACTCATATTGTCAAAGTTTTAAATTAACAAATTATGTGAAAGTCTGCAAGAGAGAAAGTATGGGTATTGATGATCTGACAATGCTTTGCCTGGCCACGCCAAGCATTTGACTTCCAGGCCACGGACATCTAGGCGAATTTTTCATTGTGTTATACAGTGTCGCCTTTGCACTTTGCTGGAAAGCACCTTCATGTACTGCCAGCTCATTCGGATTTCACTTCTTTTTCTACTTTCTTGAATTTTTTAGGGGTATCTTATATTGT